GTTGGCCTGCCTTGCTAGGTTGGGTAAGTTTTCCAGGATAATATACTGAAGAGTGTTTTCCAGCTTGGATTCATTCTCCCTGTCACATTCAGATATATCTGTCAAAGGTAGATTAGGTCTTTTCACATAATCCTATGTTTCTTGGAGGCTTTGTTCATTTCTTTTTGTTTTTTCTTGTTTTATTTCATTGAGTTGATCATCAATCTCTGATATCCTTTCTTCTGCTTGGCTGATTCAGCTATTGAAACTGGTGTATACTTCTCGAAGTTCTCGTGTTGTGTTTTTCAGCTCCATTTATTTATGTTCTTCTCTAAGTTGTTTATTTTTGGTAGCATTTCGTCAAACCTTTTTCAAGGTTTTTAGTTTCTTTTCATTGGATTAGAAGATGTTCTTTTAGCTCAGAGAAATTTATTATTACCCACTTTCTGAAGCCTGTTTCTGTCAATTCATCAGATTCATTGTCCATCCAGCCTGGTTCCCTTGCTGGTGAGGAGTTGTGATCCCTTGGAGGAGGAGAGGCATTCTGGTTTTGGGTGTTTTCATCCTTTTTGCACTGGTTTCATCCCATCTTTGTGGATTTATCTATGTGTGGTCTTTGTAATTGGTGACTTTTGGTTGGGGTCTCTTAAGTGGACATCCTTTTTGTTGCTGATGAAGTTATTTCTTTCTGTTTTTAGTTTTTCTCCTAACAGGACTCTCTGCTTTAGGACTGTGGGAGGTCTACTCCAGACCCTGCTTGCCTGGGGATCACCTGTGGTGGGTGCAGAACAGTAAGGGTTGTTGCCAATTGCTTCTTCTGTTATTTTTGTCCCAGAAGGAGACCCACCAGCTGTCAGACTGAGCTCTCCTTTATGAGGTGTCTGTTTGGATATATGGGGGTCAGCAAGCTGCTTGAGGAGACAGTCTGTCCCTTATAGGAGCTCAAGTGCTGAGCTGTGAGCTCTGTTGTTCCGTTTAGAGCTGCTGGGCATGTATGTTCAAGTCTACTACAGTGATACTCGTAACCACCTTTTTTACCCCTGTGCTCTGTCCTGTGAAGGTGGAGCTTTATTTATAAGTTCCTGAGGTGCTGCTGCCTTTTTCCAGAGATGCCCTGTCCAGCGAGGAGGTAGCCTAGTTACAGTCTGCTAGCAGAGGCGTATCTGAGCTGCCGTGGGCTCTGCCCAGCTGCTGTGTGAAGTTCCTTGTGGTTTTGTTTGTAGACGTATGGTTAGAACTTCATCAGTATTGGCAGACACTCTTCCTCCCCACAGAGCTAGACTGTCCTGGGTTCAGCTGTGCTTGCTGTGAAACTCTCAATCCAGAGCATTTCAGAGTGCTGGTCTTTATGGGGGTGGGACCCACCGAGCTAGATCAGCTGGCTCCCTGTTTCAGCCCTTATTTCTGTTGAATGGGCTGCCCTGTCTCCCAGGTGTTCCAGATGCCAGTTGAAATTTGAGAGTTTTTGTGCGGAGACCTGCTGCACCGGCTGAAACACCCGTGCTGGAGGCTTGTGGCACTTTTCTGCCTTGATTCTCCTGGTATATGGGCAGTAAAAACTTGTTCGGAAATGTAGTGATCACTCAACCTTCTGGGTTCTTGCTGGGAACTATACTCCAGAGCTGTTCCTATTTGCCCATCTTGGATCTTCCCTCCTAATTTTTTTTTTTTTCCCCGTTAGACACAGGGTTTGGTCGTGTTGGCCAGGCTGGTCTCAAATGCCTGACCTCCAGTGATCTGCCTATGTTGAACTCCCAAAGTCCTGGAATTACAGGCATGAGGTTCTTTTAAATTTTAAAAATTTAATTTTTAAATGTTAATCTATTTACTTATTTATTTAGAGAGCAGGTTTTGAGACTGGCTTATTTTTGTATTTTTGGTATCATCAAGTTTTCATGATGTTGCCAAGGCTGGTCTCAAACTCCTGGGCTCAAGCAATCCACCCACCTTGGCCTTCAAAAGTTCTGGGATTACAGGAGTAAACCACCATTGCCTGGCCAGTTCTTAGTGATATTGGATGGCTATTATTTCCAGTGGAGGACTTCCTTTGTCCTGAAGAAAACCAAGGGCTTGCTGAAAGATGAGATGTTTATGAATGCTTATTGGTAGAAGTATTTCTGCACATTAAACCTGGTTATACTTTTATATTCAAAGGAGTATCTTAGAGTATTATATGAACATATAAGTATTTAAGAAAATAGTAGTGATTATCTTAAATCATTCATTTAGTTCCTCCACAATTTTATTCAATCCCCACAAACTCCTAGTGAGGAAACAGGGGCTCAGAATGGCTAAGTGTCTTACTCAAGGTTACTTACACTCCTCTTCTTAATGATTTAACCCAAGAGAGTCCATAGCAAAGGATGCTATGTAACTGATCTAGAGCCATGTTGCCATACTTTTATTAAGAATTACTTGGAGAGCTTAATAATCTAGCCTCTTCTCCTAGGATCTCACTCAACAGGTAGAGAGCGAGAACATTGTATCTAGCTGTGTTTTCAGCAATAATCTAGTATAATTGTGATACATGTGTCCTGCAGGAACTCTTCTGTAAAGGGATGTAACCCTATGAGGGTAAGGGCAGGAAAAGGCATAGAAGCCCAAAAGGCTCTTCCACTCCAGTACTTGCCCAAAGACAGGTAGATCCAAGATCACTTTCTGTAGGCAGAACTGTGCAGGGTCCCTGACACCATGGCTGAACTTCCTCCTATGGCTTTTCTTGCTTTGGCCATCTTGGGCTAGTCTGCCCCATCATCCTGGCCGGTGTCTAGCAGCCTGACATTCACATTGAAATTTTGGAGGGGTTGTGGGTGAAACGTGCTGGATTGGAGCATGGGTATTAACCACATAATTCGCTTTTCTTCACTGTCTTTTTATGTGCTACTAATGGAAAGATATGATCGCTTTTTGTTTGTTTTTCTGAATGGGGTTGTAGATTCTCCCTGGTATGAAAGTTAGACTTGAGCTTTTTCTCATGTATCCCAAATTCCTTGAAATGGAAGAAAAGGGCCCCTCACGTAGCATGGTCTGATTTACTGCAGAAGTGGCTACCTGCATGTGTGTGTCTTTTCCTTTATTCTTCCATAGCTCGAAAGGATTAAAAATAGGGCAATTCAGTGAGGCTTGCCTCTGTAGATTAGGAAGAGGGGAAGGGCCTGGGGAAAAGTAGAGAGGGAGAATTTTATTAAAATAGAGAGCACATCTATGCTATGGCACTAATGGCTTTAAGTTGGAGAGTGGCTAAAAACACCTTTCTTTTTCCTACTCTTTTTCCTTTTTGAAAGAAAAATAAAGCCAGATGCACAAGGAGAATGCCTATGTGTAAAAAGAACAAGCATGTTTGACCAATAGGTCCTGATGGGTGAGGGCTGCTCACTCAGTGTGCCAGGGACCAAATGTTTCCTGCTGTAGCAACTTTGCTTGAGGCAATAATCTGATACTTCAAAAACTCTATATTCAATATTATTGAGAAGCTCGGCTTGAGCAATTTTTCCAGTTTTAGGGCACTTTGAGAAATTAATCTATTTCCAAGAGATCTTTTTGATAAGAAGCAGGCACTTTGAAGCTTTCTTGTTTTATCCAAGATTCTAAAATATGACCCTATCCCTATCTTCTTATAATGGGTTACCACAAGGCAGACAAAAGGCTGATTTTACCTGCAGTAAGTGTGACACATCAATAAAGCTACAAAGAGGTTTGGGATTTTCCCTTTCTTTTTGCCACCCATCTATAAAAACATAAGTAATGATCACATATTCTTAGAGCAAATAAAAACCTGCATTGAGAATCAAAGATGGCTTTCAATTCTCTAGCACTGATAGTAACAAAGTTGTCTGATTATTTTAAATCTTACAACTCTAGGAATAGAAATATTCAAGATATTTTTTCAAAGATGTACAAATAATAAAGGTATTTTCATTGGAAATGCCAGTTTTCTGTCTCAAAAAACTTCATTTCCCTATATCCATTCCCAGAAGTTAGCAAAGGTATTCCATAGATAGGGAAAGGAATCTTTGAGATTAATTCAGTAATTCCACAAATACTAAGCTTATGTTAGTTCCAGACACAATTTTATACACTGGAAATACATTGCTTGAATACAAGGTTCTTGCTTTCACAGATGGAGCTTGCTTTTTTGGTGGGTAGAGAGAAACACAAAATAAACAAAGCTTTAGGTAACAAGACTCTTACATACAAAAGAGAACTGCTTTAGATTGGGTAGTCATAAAGCAGAACTTATGAGCAGATGACATTCAAGTTAAAACCTAGATGGCAAGCAAAGGCCATGAAGATCTAGGGAAAGAGTAGAAGGCCAAGGGAACAGCTGGCATCATCATCCCAGAACCAGCTGATGAATTCCTGGAGCAGAAGTGGGTAGGGTTGGGGAGCATCAGAGATGAGATTGGAGAGAAGCAGAGGCTGGATTATGGAGCCTGTCAGTTTATGGTAAGGCACAGTGGAAATATGTTACAGGACTTCACACAGAGGCATGTTTGTTTTAATTTGCATTTTAAGAAATCCGTCTTGTTGCTTTATGGAAAATGGATTATAGGGGGATGAGCTGCAAGAATAGAATAAAGTGGTCCTTAGGGAAGCAGTTGGGACATTGTGGAGGTAGATAGAAGTGGGCAGACTTCTTGCGTATCACAAGGCAGACTTTGCTCTACCAGGTGGAAGATTTGCTTTGTGGTCTCCAAAATTGGAAGGAGTCTCAGCATCCACTCTTCCAAATTTTAGAGAAGGGATTATTTATACTGGGAGATCTCAGAACTCCCTCTCATGATCTATCCCCATAATGAAAGAACAAGACTGCACTGTGTAAATTACCAGATGTCCTTGGTGGTGCAGGGCAAAGGCTGGAGGCAGGTACCACAGCCTTCCTGGGAGTCGGCACTCATGAGTAGCTACAGTGGTTGGCAAGAGAAGTAAACGGCAGTGGTGTAATGTGGATGCTTTCCTCCTCCCACCCTGAGAAACCCACCCGATTAAACATTTCCTTATCTGGCTTTGTCTATTTACAGGGCTCATCAATGTCCCTTTCACGATCCAACAGTCGTGAGCACTTGGGAAGTGGAAGTGAATCTGATAACTGGAGAGACCGAAATGGAATTGGACCCACAAGTCATAGTGACTTTGCAGCTTCTATTGGCAGCCCTAAGCGTAAACAAAACAAATCAAGTGAGCTTTGTGTTTTATTCACACTTTTGGTATACCCAGTTTAGAATGTGTTTGAGTTGGAGTATCACTGTGGCCTCTCTGACTTCAAGTGCTTGGTGTAATTCACATGCCATCTCGTCTGGGAAGCTGACCTCGTTTCTCCCAGGGAAGCAGGTCACCTGGTTCTCTTCCTTCACTGCATTTTGTGCATGCTTTCACTCTGGCACTTGCCATACCAAAGGTTAATTATTTGTCCACTTATCTGTATCTTCCTGTGGAATTTGTGCTCCACCAGCCAGAGACCATATTCGTTCATTTTATAAACATTTATGAAGTGCCCACATGTCAGGCATTCTGTTCTGTTCTGCCTTACTGGTTACCTCTTCCCTAATACCTGATGGACTGACACTTTGTAGGTAGGTGCTCAGTAAAAATTTGTGAAACGAATGCATGAATGGGTAATGCACACATACATCCAGGTGATGATGAAAAGACGAGGATCTAAGAAAGTGGTCGAGGCCAGGGATGGCAGCTCTCGCCTGTAATCCCAGCACGTGGGGCGGCGAAGGTGAGATGATAGCTTGAGCTCAGGGGTTTGAGACCAGCCTGGGCAACACAGTGAAATTTCATCTCTACTAAAACAACAACAACAACAAAACCTGGGAGTGGTGGTGTGCATGTGCCTGTAGTCCTAGCTACATGGGAGGCTGAGGTGGGAGTATTGCCTGAGTCCAGGAGTTTGAGGCTGCAGTGAACAATAATTGAGCCACTACACTACAACCTGGGTAACAGAATGAGACCCTGTCTCAAAAAAATAAAAGAAAGTGGTTGAGAAGAAAAATGTGATTCAATTAGCATCGTAAACCATTGAAGAAAGAGTGTCTAGTGGGTGGCTACTAAAGGTGAACAGCAGGGTTTGAGTTGTAAATAGATGTTGCTGAATTAGCATAAATAGGAAAAAATATTAACTTACGGAATGGGGGCTCTGGCTTTTAGCAAATCTGACCAAAACTCAGCATAAGCCCATTGTTTTATCTACAACAGCACCCATACTCCTGGACTGTATAAACAGGAGAGCTGATGTCATCCCAAGCTATGCCCCAATGCCTTTTTGCAGGGTTTTTGACATATTTGGAATCCTGAAACACATAGAGTATTTGAAGACTCCTTGAAGAAAGGCAATCTAGTTGAGCCTGGTAGACACTCAGTAACAGTCAGTTGTTATGTTACTATCGATCATGTCGGCTGTGTTGTCAGGAGTCTCAGATTTGAAAGGAGTAATCAGGTTGTTGGCCAAGTCTAAATAAGAAAGCACAGTCAACTCTTTCATCCCTAAATGCACTGTCAATAGTAGCCTGGAGACTTTCCTTTAGTTAGTGGCTGGATGCTCCACCACTGACAGTAAGATCGAGCTGAGAGTCAGGCTGGTGCCAGGCACAGATGGAGGGGTGTAAATGAGGTCCAGTCTCCAGCCCACGATACATTCATTTGGTGCTTCTTTTTATCTCCTGTCCCTTCATTTAATATTGGATAATTAGATTGACTGTACTAGTTTGAATTGAAGTTCAAGATTAAGATGGAGAATATATTAATAAAAAGAAATGATTAATGAAGCACAGTAATTTGGGTTTCATCACTTCTTTAGGGTGTAGGGAGTTTAAGAGAGACTATAGAAGCTACAGGTAGTTAAGAGCAAAAAAAAAATAAGTAAAAGTAAGTTATAGGCTATTTTGAACATTTATCACTATGAACATTTTAAACAGTTGTTTTTAAAAATTTTACTAATTTAACCCAACATATGTATGATTCCTTTTAAATATGTAATCAGTATAAATATTAAGATAGCTTACATTTTCTTATTTTGTACAAAGTCTTTAATCTCTGCAGTGTTGTGTGTACTGACAAAGCATTTTCATTCCCACTAGCCTCATTTCAGGTGCTCAGTAGACATATGTGACCAATGGCTACTGTATTAGACAGCATAGTTATAGATAATTTCTCTTAACACCCTTATCAAGGTCACCAATGTTTTCCATTTTCCCTGGGTGTCCCTATTTATACCAGTTGCTGCAGCATAATTCTTAGTAAGTCTTTTACTCTCAAAAAAAAAGTTGGCCGGGCGCGGTGGCTCACGCCTGTAATCCCAGCACTTTGTGAGGCCGAGGTGGGTGGATCACGAGGTCAAGAGATTGAGACCAACCTAGTCAACATGGTGAAACCCGTCTTTACTAAAAATACAAAAAATTAGCTGGGCATGGTGGCGCATACCTGTAAAACAGCTACTCAGGAGGCTGAGGCAGGAGAATTGCCGGAACCCAGGAGGCGGAGGTTGCAGTGAGCCAAGATCGCGCCATTGCACTCCAGCCTGGGTAACAAGAGCGAAACTCCGTCTCAAACAAACAAACAAAAAAGTTATCATTTGGACCATAAATTGTATGGGCAGCCTTATAGCCACTTTCATGTTATCACATCCAATGGTCACTCACAATTTGCTTATTGCAGTCTGCTTTGTGTCACCTTTGACCTAGTACCTCAATAATCACTCCTCATCAAATTGTTTTTATGATTTTGGGGCCTCTGCTTCACCTGTAAATGGTGGAGTGTCCCAGGGCTCAGTATCTTGAGGTTTGGTTTTGGGTCCTTTCTCCCCATATTCACCCCAAGAGATAAACAGCTATCTTTACGAGAAAAAGAAACCTTATCAGGAGATGCCTTCTGCGTGAGAATCATAAAGGACATCTCAATTGGGAGATGAAGGCAACTGGAGAAAGCGATCCGTGGCAGAACAGTGCAGAACAAGATTTCTAGGTTTGGCAGATGCATGGATCCCGAGTAGAATAGATGGATCCGATTGGCTTTGGTCAGTGTCGTCCTCCTTTACCTTTTTGGGGATCTCTCCTGAAGCCACATCCTTAGTGTAACAAGACAGATTTCCCACAGAGGCAAGCACTCATTACTGGTCTGGGAGGTAGAATGCCTGCACTCTGCTAAAATCTCCAATGCAGAGTGTGTGTGTGTGTGTGTGTGTCTTGGCATGGCTAAAATCTCCAAGGCAGTGTGTGTGCATGTGTGTGTGCAGGTGTCTTACTTGGCATGGTTCAATAGTCCATCACCCAGCCCTGCTTTTCACTGGGTCTGTGAGCCAGTGTGTTGATACCATTGCCCACTAAAGCAGTTGCAGAACCAAGGTAAAATTCAGCATTGCCATCTTCAAAGTTTTCCCAAGAGACAGATTTATTTTTGTCAAATTAATTCCAGGAACCCCAGCATCATTCCTATCAGTTTATACATTACTCTTAATTTTGGAAGTGTGCCATTTTGTGACCTTGCTACCCAATTATATTTTTCTAGAGAACAGGATTTGTGTGTTGCAGTGTCATACAATTCCTTTCACTGAAGGGAAACACAGGTGTAGATACACAGAGCCACCCTGCCATCCAAAAGGAACCTGGACTTGTAATAACTTTCTACACCTTTATTTTGTCCCAGGGATCCTTTTTCCAGCTCCTCATTTAATTCACATCAAATCAATTATAAACAACAAATGCTTCTGACTACTCAGGGAGAATATGATGAATGATTATTAACTACAGAGGCACTGTTGCTGAATTTCTGCCTCCCAAGTGGAGCCTTTTAAATGGCAAGAGCCTTGCTGAAAGCAATAACCAGCATTTCCTTAATGAAAAGCCAATATTTCAGTAAAAGATTGCTGTATTTCTACAGCTACTGCTCTATTCAGCTGAACGATGAAATTTGAAATATTTAGGTGATTAAAACTTTTCATTAAGCCATGTTCTCTCTGGGCATTTACACTTCAAGCCTGTCTCTCCTTTGCCTTTCAGCGGAACACTATCTCAGCAGTAGCAATTACATGGACTGCATTTCTTCGCTGACAGGAAGCAATGGCTGTAACCTAAATAGCTCTTTCAAAGGCTCTGACCTCCCTGAGCTCTTCAGCAAACTGGGCCTGGGCAAATACACAGATGTCTTCCAGCAACAAGAGGTCAGTCATTTTCCCAGGTATCTTTGTTTTGGTTGTGTATATGTTGACTTCTAGAATGAAGTCACTTATTGACCTATGAGTATGCTTTCACTGAGCATTTATTCAAGTCTCATAGCTTGCTCTTGCTACTAAGAAAAATGTCATCTCATTTCTTATTTAATGCAGCTTGTAAACACAGGATAGCAGAAAGAGAAAATCATACTTGCAAAAAATGTCTAATAGCTAACAGTTTTAGCAATAAAACCCAATTGATATATTGATTCATAGGAATTTTTGTAGTCACAGCTCCCTTAAGGTCAGCAACAAGTCTGTATTTAACATGATTTCATTTTTGAATCTGTTATCTTTATTTGTGGCACTTAAAAGTAAGTAACAGCATCTGAAATATCTCTGGCTATTTTTGACTCAGCCTGCTCATACCGAAGTCTGTTCTCACAGAATGTTTTTTTCAACATGTTAATTTATTCATTAACCGTTTGGGTTTTACCTGAACTGAGACAGAACTGAGATGTCTTCTTTACAATCACAATCATAGATTTTGGTCAAAGTGATTAGCCGTATCCTATTATGTACTGGTATAAAGCAAAGAGGCCCTGGGCATGATTCTTCTTAACAGCACTCATACTGCTGGGGCACAGCTAGCCCAGAGTGTCAGAAAATTAAAATGGTTCTATGCATTTGTGTCTTTGTCAAATCAAGACATGGTCCACGTTTGATGCTAGTTGGTTTATTTTAATGCTACAGAAGATCTGATTTAGTAATTTCTAGGCATGTGTCAGTTAATAAAGAATCTATGGCTTTTATCAGGTACTTAGTATCATAAATTCAGTGTACTGCCCATGGTCCAATAAATTATCCTTAAATGCTGAGCATTTTTTTTTTTACACTGAAAGAGCAATTGTCATGTATATTAAATTTCAGGACATTGATTTTTTTTCCTGTTTCTCCTATGTCTGAGTTAGTGTTCACTTAACCTCTCCTACATCTGAGAAAATTCTTGGCTAAATGAACACTAAGGTGAATAAACCTTTCATAATCAATGCATTAAAGAATGTATCTATTTAGTCTTGTTGGTTAGATGAGGATAGCTGATTGGGAAGCTAAAAAGCAGTAGTATTTTAACATGTTCAGGCACAGAAGGTTAAAAAGCAAGAGACTGAATATTATTCAATGATATTCTTGATTTGTTTTCATCTAAGTTTATTTCTTATTTGAAGAAGCATATTAAATTATAGGTATTTCTTATTCCAGTTACACTAAGAAGGAAGAAAACATGAAAGTATAAAGCCAGAGGGACTTAATTTAAGATTTTATAAACTACAGCAGGAATCAGCACACTGGTCTGCAGGCCCACTGCCTGATTTTGTAAATAAAGTTTTATTCGAACATTGTTTACATTATTGTATAAGGCTTCCTTCCAGCTACAACAGCAAAATTAAATAACTGCAACAGTGACAATATGGCCCACAAAGCCCAAAATATTTAACATCTGGATCCTTTAAGAGAAAGTTGGGGAACATTTGAGCTGAAGAGTCTCTGTTACAGAATTTCTGAAAACATATCTTTAGAACTGTGATAAATGATGGCCTAGGGTTTTCTAAGATCACATCAAAACAGGACAATTTAAATTATCTTCAATATCATTTAATGAAAACTTTTATCTGTTTATGGTGTGTTGAAATTTGGTAATCTGCTTCTTTCATGTAGGATATTTTCTAATACTCAGATGTGATTTAACAAGATTCCCCATTAAGTAACTTCCTGAGATTTAATTTATTGTAAGCATGTTGAGGATTCATTTAGCAACTTTCACATATGAAAGTATCAACGTGCATTATTACTAACCATAGCTGCCTATTAGCCTCTTTGGTAAGCCCAGTGCTTTCTATCTGTAGTTATAGTGAATGCTCACAACAGTTCTGCAAGATATAGTATTGTCAACCCTCTGTGCCCATAGCTAGGAATGACACAGTTGGGATCTGAACCGAAGTCTCTTTGGCTTCAGAATCCATTGTCTTTCTCTTTTTCCACACTATCTTTAAAGGAAGGGCGGGAGATCCTTGGGCACTTGACCTTCATACTTTGTTTCTGATGCCAGAGAGTACAGTTTTATAGTTTCTGCAAATACTTCTTTTGTATCCCTTTCTGTGATAGTTTGCTGGGTTGAGCCACGTAAACTGTAGGTCTGATTGTGTCTGGGAATTCTTCTTTCAATCCTATGTAGGACACAAAGGAAGATACCATCTGTTACATTATTTAGTTTCTTCTTATGAAGATACAGTTAACCAATTCAAAATCCTAAGACCTATTTTTTCTTTCCTGAACAGATAATGTTCTTCCTTTTATCAGTTCACAAAAATGATACAATCTTTCTATTTTCTTTTTTGCTCTAGTTTCTAGGATGCTCATAGCTTAGTCTTCTGCTAGAATTATCACTTCCATTTCACCATATTTCTTAATTCTTGTTTCTTAGGTTTGTGCTACTACCTTTATGCTCTACTTCCAGAAAAGAATAAATAAGTATGATAACAAGTTGATCCTACAGTGAGAAACAAACTAAGTGATATATTGGTTATAGATTGACCTTTCTACCCACAGATCGATCTTCAGACATTCCTCACTCTCACAGATCAGGATCTGAAGGAGCTGGGAATAACTACTTTTGGTGCCAGGAGGAAAATGCTACTTGCAATTTCAGGTGAATATAAATATTCAACTTATACATTAAAATCTGAATAATCTCTGCCAGTGGTCTCAGCCATTGGGTTGGTTCTACCCATTAACCACTGGCTTACTAATCTGACACCTCGGTGGTTGTGGTTTCAGAGGGTTTTCTTGTCAACAGTGTGACAGACGCTGAGAATCTCTTACTTTTGCATCAAGGCATTGCCTGAAAACCTGCCTTAACAAGGGTCATATCTGAAAACAGATCTCTTCAGAAAGATCTAACCAAAATCGCCCTATGCAGAACATGAAAATGGGGGGAAAGTTTAATTCTCCTCTTTGCAGTTGTGTTAAATAGTAATCACTGTATTAGTGAATAATCATTCTTGATTGGCAGTTATGTTTCAAATATGTGTGTCCTTGCACACTGACCGAGATCATTGCACTGAGAAGAAAAGAATGCTGGTTACAATAGTGTGGAATTGGGTAGTGTTACTTGTCTTAATTCTTCTTAGTTTCCCACTGTTTTAGTAGAATTTGAGTCACAGGATATAGTATCCTGAAGATAGTCACAGAATGAAGGAAAATAATGTCTACCTCCCTAGTCCAATTTCTTTGTGCATCTGTTGCATGTATGTTTTGGAAATGCTCTATACATATTTATTGGGTGCCACTCATTTGAAAGGAATTGAGCCAGATGATGAGTCAGGAGTTGGCAAATAAATAGTAATGAACTTCAAAAAAGTATTGAGAGAAATGTGCAGAAATTTGAAGGAGGGAATGGGATTAATTTTTGAAAACTTTCCAATAAAGTTCTTGAATGTCAAATTTATATATGTTCCAGTCTCAGACACACCAAGGACAGAAGCCAAGTTTTATGTGCTGTGGAAAAATGAATGCTTTTTCAGAACACTGAATTTGCAAGCTGTGCCTCAGCGAAGCCAATAGTTGCATCCAACCGGTCAAAGTTCATTCCAGACAGCATTCACTAATCAGATCAGCAGAAAAAATTTAAAACCTCAGTGGTTTTCCATTTTATCAGCATGTGGCGTGTCCCACCCATCTTCCCGTAGGAAATCTTTATCTGAAGCAGACATAGGCACAGCAACTTTGAAATAGGAGTGGAAATTCAGCCATTGAGCTTCCTGGTGGCAGTCTATTAGGTTCTTCTATGGATAGAGTTCAGCACTCATCAATTTTTACCAGAACGTCTACAATTTCTCCTTGGATATACTGTGTATACCCAAGAGGCTCTATTAATGGAACTCCACAGGGAAGATGTGTAATTCCTGCTCATAGATTATCTTGGTATAGTGGAAAGAACACTGGATTCAGTAGGAGATCTGGGCCTCACTTCTGCTAAGTCATGAGTCCTTGAGTGAGTTGCCAAACCTCTTTTGGCTTTGGTTTATTAATCATGAAGATAGATTGGAATACATGATTGTACAAAGGTCACCTGTTTCTAAGATCTGTCCTTTCATGTGCTATCAGGCTTAGTGAAAATGGACAAAACTATAGTTTTATTACTTGTTCTTTTTTACCAACTATGATAGTAATTTTTAAAATGTATTTGTCTTCCCTAAAGCTCAGCCTCAGGGGGCTATTCCTAGACTCAAACTTTTAAGTTTTCATATTTTTATTAATTTGCAAATGAAATTTGCAAAAATACTGTTTAAAATGTGATTAACTTGAAATATGCCTGTGGGCCAGCAATTTTATACCAGTGAAGGGTAGTGTCCAGAGCTCCATAATCTTTCACTAGAGATTCGTGGAATGGCAGTGGGGATATGCTGAAAACTAGTTCCCTTTAGGTCTCCCAACCCAATTCCCAATTCTGTAAAGCTTTTAGCAACAAGCAGATAGCTGTAAATACATTCATGGACATAGACAGATCATCAATACCTTTACTCTGGAATGTATCAGGATCCTTTGTGTGGGAGGTTAGATGGGAATAAGAAGGGTTTCAGGTTCTCTATTTAAATATATATATATATATGTGTGTGTGTGTGTGTGTGTGTGTGTGTGTGTGTGTGTGTATGTGTGTGTGTGTTTTCTAACCATTGTCTTTGTCATTCTACTGAGGCTGTATACTACTTCTGCAGACTTCCTCTCTATGGGATTCACCAGGTCCTCTTGCTTTAAAAGGGAGTTTGAGACTTTGACTAAGATGCCTTATGGGTATTCTGCACAGCATAAACAACTTGATTAAGAATAATTTTATCTTTGTTGAGTGCATTTGTTTGAACCTGGTAAATTATTTTCTCTGAAAGCAATACATTTTTATTGAGAAAATTCTTCATCAAAAAGCTTCTTTCTCCAGTTCAACTTATCTGTTAACAAAGATATCCATTTATAGTCCCAGAACATTCTGTCTCCCTATAGATGCAGTATAGCTGGGCAGTCTGGACTCATGTTTGTCTTATGGTTACAAATTGGTTAGATACAGAGTTTGCTCATCCTTTTTAAAATCTGTAATTTTTAACTTATATTCTGAGTTATTCTTTCAGTATAAGGTTTTGTTTTACTTTTAATCTCGGGCCAAAATACATTTATTTTAATGTTATAGCAGATGAAATTTATCTCTAATGGAAATGGATCAAAGTATAAATTTGATCTCTTTTCCCCCAAATCCACTTTTCCGGGGGGAAAATTCACAGATTCCTCTCAGAATATTTTCATGATTGGTTAAATATACAGGGACTCAGTGAAAGGACGTTTAGCATCCTGTTGACAGGCTTCCCACCACGGCCTCAGGTAGATCTAACATTTCCCGACCTATTCTTTTAGTTTGTGACTCTGTTCAGATCCGCAACAAGATCCTGAGAGCTGCCAGGATTGTGTGAACCTTGGAATTTCAAAGAAAAAGGTTGGTATTTTCCCAAACCATCCCTTAGGCTTGCTGAAAAATATTAGAGGAGTTTGCTTTATCATTTAAGAAACAAAAATTCTAAAATCTCTTCAGTAGGACTTGACCTTGATAACCTCTCTGGAAGATTTATCTCTGTGCATCACATTTTAAAACATACATATGTATTGTCTTAGAAACTGTATCCGTTAGGATTGGCTTCCCTTGTGTTCATTGCACTGTTTCAAAGATCTGGCTGATGTGTCTTTTCAGGATAAAGTTTTTAACATTATTTTGAAAAACTTTGTTTTAACGGCCCGGTTGTTGTCATGTGCTCAGTTATACATGTTATATGCTCTAAGGGAGAATGTTGTTTGGCCTCATTCTTTTTTCTTTGCTGTAAAATGTCCTCCTGAATTGTATATTATTCCCCTGTGAGAAAATGGAGGCTGAAGATTGTCCCTAGCTTGAAGATAAAGCTTTTCCAGGCTGTGTACTAAAGGGGATTCATTTATTCTTAATGTTTCTATAAGTTTAAATATATTCAATTCTGTCTTGATTTCTGAATTTTGAAGGGCTGTGTTTTTGTTTTAAAGAAGAAACATGTATCCAACTTTTAAGAGGAATGTCATTGCCACTGTTTCTGGAGAAACTTGAAACAACAGCCATCTGTATGCATGTCTGTATGTGTGTTTTGCTTATAAAGATACCTTCCTTGCTTCTTCAGAGTGAAGCTGGGTTTTTCTATTTATAAAGTAAATTTAGTATGCTAAAATAGGAAATAAAGCTCTGTTATCTGGCATACTTGGAACTATCGCTTTCTCAGATTTGTATTCCTGATGCCTCAGTTGGTCCTCTCTGTTCAGTGGGTCACTGAAGGCCATTGCTTAGGGCATTGACCTTTGCATGAGGCATGTGAGGTTTCAGCTCTGTCACTTAGTACCTGTGTGGGCAAGTGACTTAATCTATTTTTTAAATCCATTTTCTCATCCGTAAAATGGAGAATGGTAATACTACTATCCCTTAAGGAAGACTTGAATAGGGCAAAATAAATGTAAAGTGCTTGTCATACAATAAGCCTAATGAATCATTGTTATTTTTCTTCTCTCCTAAGACCTATATGTGAACAAAAGAGAGATGTCTCTACTGTTGCTCTGACCATACAGGGCAGGCGTTTACATTTTGGAAGACAGTGGGGTAAAATGTTAAAGGTGTTGGTCATCTTCCAGAACTTGGGCATAGGAGCGTGTCTGTTCATATGGCCATCCTTAACCCCATGCAGTCTGTTACAACCCGAGTCTGTGTCTTCAGCATTACTGTAGGTTGCCGTATCTTACATGTAACTTCACAATTCCAAAGGGGATTGATTGTGCGTGCGTGTGGTTGAAAAGTACTGAATACATGCAAATATAAGGTGAATCACCTGCTCTAGCACCTCAAAAAAAGAGACAACTTTAAACAAATCCATTACATAATCCCTGTATTTTAAACGGAATAAATTTGAGGGTATTTGCATTTGCTGGCTACCAAAACCCTAATTTGCATAGTCTGATGATTCTCTGTACTTGCATGAGTTTGTCAGAAAAAGTTACATCAGTGATTTTTGAGGTGGGGGGTGGAGGTTGATGCACAGTCATAAACAAGGGAGTCTCTTTCAATTAACTTTTTACCTTTCCAAACTAAACTGTTTTCAGAATACTCTGATTTCTTTACAATTCAAATAGGGCACCTCAGGTTGTCCCTGACATTTTAGATGCAGGTATTTGTTTTTGAGTCATTTTCTAAGCTGTTGTGATTTTTTTTAACCAATTTTTATTCAAACACACCTACTCATATGCTTCTTTCTAAAACTATTTCTGACTCAAGAATAGGCTTTGTGAGTTGGCAGAGCCATGGGGGCTGTAGAGTAATACAGTTGACCCTTGAACAACATGGATTTGAACTGCACAGGTTCACTTATACACAAATTTTTTTCAATAAATAAATTGGAAATATTTTTGGAGCTTTGTGACAACTTGAAAAAACTTCCAAACTGCATATCCTAGAAATATTGAAAAAAAATTGCCAGGCGCAGTAGCTCAAGCCTGTAATCCCAGCACTTTGGGAGGCCGAGGCGGGTGGATCACGAGGTCAAGAGATCGAGACCATCCTGGTCAACATGGTGAAACCCTGTCTCTACTAAAAATACAAAAAATCAGCTGGGCATGGTGGTGCGTGCCTGTAATCCCAGCTACTCAGGAGGCTGAGGCAGGAGAATTGCCTGAACCCAGGAGGCAGAGGTTGCGGTGAGCCGAGATCATGCCATTGCACTCCAGCCTGGGTAACGAGAGTGACACTCTGTCTCAAAAAAAAAAAAAAAAAATTAAGATGTCTCAGGAATGCATGAAATATATACAGATACTAGTCTATCATTTATTATCATACAGTATACACATTTATTATAATATGTTAAAACTTACCGAAACCTCACAGACCATATATGGCACCATTGGCAGCAGAGAGAAATGTAAACAAACAAAAAGCCATTTTAAATCATAACTGCATAAAATTAACTGTTACATATATATAGTACTACTGTAATAATTTCATAGCCACCTTCTATTGCTATTGCGTTGAGCTCAGGTATTGCAAGTATCTGCTTAAAGCACGGTACAATACTAACATTCTCCATGTGAGCAATTAATCTCTCCAGTAAGTTGTATCTAACAGTTACAAGTGATCTCTCAGTTCTTGGACGTTTTTCATTGTATTTAGTACAATACCACAGACGTTGAATTACACCATAGGACCCACATAAAGTGCCACTCACTAGTTCTCAGAAGCAGAGACAAATTATGACATCATCAGAAAAAGCTGAATTTCTTGATATGTACCACAGATTGAGGTGTGTAGCTGCATTGGCCCACCACGTCACGATGAATGAATACAGCATAATGACTATTTTTTAAAAGAAAGGAAAAGAAAAGGAAATTTGAGAAGCCATTGCTGCAGCTACACCAGCAGGTACAAAAGCCTTGCCCTTTTTGCAAAATACCTTTTTATCTTGCATTGAAAATGGAGCTTTTAGAGTGGGTGCAGGATTGTTATAAAAAAGCATACGTATTGACTCCATGAGTCAAAAAATAGCAGTCACTATATGACAACTTAAAGCAAAAATAAGGTGAAGGATATAAAGCTAGAGAAATTAATGACAGCAAAAGATGGTATGATAATTGTAGAAAGAGGTTTGGCTTAACAAATATGAAGATAACAGGAGAAGGAGCTTTTGTCAACCAAGAGGCAGCAGATGAGTTCCCAGATATAGAAAAGAAAATCACTGAGGAGAAAGACTGTACACCTGAACAGGTTTTTAATGCAGATGAAAGTGCGCTATTCTGGAAAAAAAAAATGCCACAAAGGACCTTTATTAGTACAGAAAACAAACGAACACCCGAATTTCAGTCAGGAAGGGGTAGGCGGACTGCAGTTTTGTACAAATGCAGTCATGTTTATGATCAGGACTGCCTTATCTATAAAGCTGCCCACTCTCAAGCCTTGAGGGGAGAAGATGAATACCAGCTTCCAGTCTTTTGGTTGTAGCACAAGAAGGCATGGATAACAAGAATGCTTTTTCTAGACTGGCCCCATTGATACTTTTTCCCTGAATTCAGGACATAACTTGCCAGTAAAAGACTGGCATTTTAAGTTTTTTTTTTTTTTTTTTTTTTTTTTTTTTTTTTTTGAGATTGGATAATGCCCCTGGCCATGGAAAACCCTGTGCATTTAACATCAGAGTCGCCAGAGTAGTTTACTTGTCTCCAAACACAGGGTCTCTAATCCAGTTTCCAGATCAGGAGGTCATAAGGACCTTTGAGGATTGTTACACATGGTACTCTATGGAAAGGATTGCCAAGGTTATAGAAGAGAACCCCAATAGAGAAAACATGAAAAGCTGGAAGCATTACACCATTGAAGATGTCATTGTTGTTATAGAAAAGGCTGTGAAAGCCATCAGGCCTGAAACAATGAATTTCTGCTAGAAAAAACTGTCCAGATGTTGTGTATGACTTCACAGGATTTACCATAGAGCCAATCGAGAAAATCATGAAAGAGATTGTGGATGTGGCAAAAAAATAAAAAAGGTAAGGGTGAAGGATTTCAAGATCAGATCTCGGGGAAATTCCAGAGCTAATAGACAACACACCAGAGGAATGAACAGAGATGATTTGATGGAGATGAGCGCTTCTGAACCAGTGCCAGATGAGGAGGAAGACGTAGAAGCAACAGTGCCAGAAAACAGCTGACGTTGAACAGTCTGGCAGAAGCGGTCCGATTATTCAAGACTGCTTCTGATTTTTTATGACATGGATTCTTCTATAATACAGGCACTGAAAACAGTGGAAGAACGACTAGTACCACATAGAAACATTTTTAAAGAAATGAAAAAAGCAAAAATGGCAGGCAGAAATTATGATGTATTTTTGGAAGGTCCAAGTGTGCCTGCCTTCTTTTTCTCTCACCACTACCTCTTGAGCCTTTGCTATCCCTGACACAGCAAGACCAACCCCTTCTCTTCCTCCTGCTCCTCCTTAACCTACTCAATGTAAAGATGACAAGGATGAAGACTTTATGATTATTCACTTGCACTTACTGAACAGTAAATAGATTTTCTCTTCCTAATGATTCTCTTGGTATTTATCTTGCTTAGTTTATTGTAAGCATGCAATATCAAATACATATAACATACAAAACGTGTTAACTTACTGGTAATGCTTCTGGTCAACAGGCTATTAATGTTTTGGGGGAGTCAAAGTTATACATGGATTTTTGACTGCATGGCGCAAGAGGGGGTTGGCACCTCAGCCCCTGCATTATTCAAGGGTCAGCTGGACTTCAGGGTGCTCCTCCAATATCCTTGCTTAGGTGCAGGTCTTCTTTTCATATCTGACTTTAATAACTAAATGATTGCCGTGTTTGACATGGATGCGTTCAATAGCTTTAACAATTTTCCGTGCCATCAGTAATATGTCTTCTCATGTGCCTTTCACCAGCTTTGATTGTTCTCCTTGCCTCTGAAATGACTTTGGAGTAGGTCAAACTGTTTAATTTGGTTAGAGAGTTCTGAGAATGATATATCCTCCAATATAGTTTACAAACTATAATAGAAACTATTTGCTGTCTGGAGTTTACAAATTGCAATAAAAACTATTTGCTGGCCTTAGTTCTCTAGACTATCAATATGCTGCCTTTAATATCATACTTTCTAGTGTTTCAGAAATGCTTTGACCATCAACTGAAAGTTTTCCTTTTGCTACCAGACTTGACTTTCCTCAAAAAACCTGCCACGTCACCATTTTCTGAGCTCTAGTACGATGTCCTTCCTGTATATACATAGAACTACTCGAGCTCCTAACAATTCTCTCTTTCTCTCTCTAGAACTAAATAAAAACCGAAGAAAGCTTTTTGAATCGCCAAATGCACGCACCTCTTTCCTGGAAGGTGGAGCAAGTGGAAGGCTACCACGTCAGTATCACTCAGACATTGCTAGTGTCAGTGGCCGCTGGTAGCAGTGCCCTCTCGGCACATGCCCGCCAACTAACTGCAAAGGTGGACACAGGAGATTTGTGAACAGCCTTGATAGCACACCGTCCTCAGAACTCTGGGTGTCTGGTATCAGGACCAAAGCATCTTAATTCACACCTGTACTTTATGGCAAAAAGGAAAAAAAGAAGATGTTCTTATGATGTCACACAAAACGCCAAATGTGGATTACATTTTTAAAATGGCAGTTGGAAAGAATTTGCAATATGAGGATAGGGCTTCATTTCCCGTTTTTATTTACCTATATAACATGCACTGATTTTTTTTTTTTTTTTTTTTTTTTTTTACTTAAAATGAAGAATGAATTGACATCTGGGATGCCAGAAAACTTAGAAGTTATTTTGTTTGCTTGTTGCGTTTTGGTATTTGGGGATTTTTAAAAAAATAATCAAAGTGGAATTTTCTGGTACTGCTTTAAAATAATTATTGCGGTCTTTCAGCACTTTACACGTTCTAATTTCTTGTCCTGTGGAAATTCTCGCTGTCTCCATCTCTCTCTCCCATTTTTGTGTCACTGAATATGTTGGTACAGATCAGATTTAGTCACATTTTTCTGACTACATCAAACTTTCATTTGAAGTGGTACTGGATCTTAGTTTCTGTGCAGAGTATTCTGTGACTTTGGGAAATATAAGTGAGTCCACTTTGCTTCTGGACCAATTCTGTTTCACGTATGTTAGCATCCTAGAAACACAGCAATGGACCTAGTTCATGGTAATAGGTGCAAAGAAAGACCAAATGGACTTTGCAGTATTAACCCTTTACAGTCGTCATATTTAGCTGCTGCCTGTAATGCTAAAATGATTTTAATGGTTGTCTGGAGGCAAAGGGCTGTTTTTTAGTATATTGCCACTAAAGGACATTTATTTATATCAAACTTTTATTTTTAGATATTATAAGCATACAGTACATAATTGATGAAATTGATATTTACTAGAGATTTATGGTAGAGAATGGACGACATTCAATAACTGGAGCCCTAGATTGTCACTTTATTTAAAAAGACAAATAATCATCTGACAAGACAGCACTGTTGCCATTATGAGGAGAAATAGATTACAATCCTTATCATGTACATGTTAGCTATGTTCCGTATGGCCACAGGACTTTCCTAAAACCCTGTCTGTCTGTTTGAAGTAGACGTTTGTTTGTTGAGAATGAACAGGCTTGAGTCTCCAGGGTGGCAGTTTATAAAGATAAGTAAGTTCTGAAAGAAAAAGATATTTTTTAAGTGGCTAGATTCATTATTACAATCTTATACTGTGAAAGTCCAAAAAATCAGGCAACATTATTTCCTGGGTCTTTTCAGAGATCTTACAGATTTATGAAGTGTTTTTAATCCATGAAGAAAATCACTAAAGTGCCTTTCTTTCTTCAAAGCAATATTATTTCCAAGTATATTAATTTGTTAGAAAACTTTCCCATGGGAAATGTTGTCAAGTTACCTGTACTGTAAAAAGTTATGTTCAGTAGTCCAGATTTTCTACATGGACATAAACCACTCTCACGTGCTCAGAAGGCATTAGATAAGCATATACAAGAGTTGGGTACTTTTATACAAACACGGGATTAGAAATACTTGGCTGACATTTTTCATTGCTGAATCACACCATTAAAGAACAAGAACTGAAGAGGCATTTTGCACACAGAAAAAAATTTCACTTTAAAAAATGGTATTGGTTACTTTGAAGGCATAGATAATAGGCATGTCATAAAATTATCAATTATAACTGGCACTGAGGGCCTGCCCTTTTTAAACTAAACTAAGCCTTATCTGCTTAAGGATGTTGAACAAAATCACTCCCTTTAGTCATCCTGTGCATATGTGTACAAATGGTCTTGTGGATCATGTGATGAACATCCATCTTATTTGATTGTATTAATGCATCATAACATTTAGTACAGGTTAGCAATTCCAGATTTGTGTCCTGTTCAACAACTCAGGACTCTAAATGTTGTTAGGTCTTTAGTTAAGACCTTCCCAGCTAATAATCATTTGGAGCTCTTTTCCCAGCTCTATACCATGCATTTGCAACAGGAGGAAGATGGAATGAATATGCAGTATTAAGTTGATGTAGCTTTTATGAACAGTGCTTTGATATGCCAAAGGGAAAACTGTCCCACTTAAATTAGATTAAATACAGTGGCTAAAATTAAAAACACTGGAAATTATTTCTCTCACTTTCTCTTGATGCAATGAAGGGACTATGACACTACAGTATACAGAGTTGTTATATGATGCACAAAATATTGATGATTTGAATAAATGTTAACTTTTAATCAATCTGCGCCTTAATAATGACTGACTGGTTATCTGTAAATATAGAACAGATACAGATTGTATTTTTGTGTGGGTATTTGTCCTTTTAGTGATTTTTTTCCAAAAATAAGAGATGGAATTAACATTGAAAATGGAAATTTTTTTCTAACCGAATCAATTGTTACATGAAAAATAAATTTATATAACCCCTTTGTATTGCTCTTGCGAGATGAAATTGTCTTTTTTTTTTTAAAGAAGAATCTTTACACATAAATTCAATGCCTTTGTTTTCTAAGAATTTTTTTTTTTTTGGCTATTTTCAGCAAAGTTGAAAGATGTTTCTGCATTAGAATTGAATATGCATTCTGTGGCCTCCTGTTTTGTTTTGCACTGACATTCCTCATTTTCAACCAGAAACTAAAGCACTTTATTTTAGTCAGTGAATCCAGGACCAGTCATCAATCATTGTTTCTTTGGCCACCCATAGGTACATACAAAAGAGTAACATTATAGAACAGGTTTTATTCTTCTTTCTTTTATAAAGACTCAGGTATATGAGCGCTTTGACAACCCCATCCATCAGCAAAGACTGAAGTGATGCTGGGCTTTTTGATCCAGGTACCCCTTTCAGAGACTGCCATTGTGTTATCTCTGTGTGTTTACCATTCCCTGTGTTGAGATGCTCACTGAACTGATATTATCTTACTTCTGAGATTTTGCTAAACCTTAAAGAAAACCTGGCCTCCTCACATTATGCCCCCAGGAATATTTCCACTTGAATTATCTATGCTAGTGGTTGGTTCTTAAACATTGTTTCTAGAACAGAAATTCTTTTGGTAGTTGAAATCTTACCTGTGACCCAATATTAAATTATCAATTTATTTACTTATTTGGTTCATTATATACATATTAATGACACATAAATATTTAGTAAGTGTCAGGCCCTGGTCTAGGAACACTAGTGAATAAAACAACCCTTTGCCCTCCTTGAACCTGAATTCTAAATGGAGAAAGGTGGCACTAAAGAGGGAGAGGTTGGAGGATAGAACATCCCCACCCTTCATATGGGCCTCCATGTGTTTAGCACACTCCAAGGGGACTCTAGGGAGCTCTCTAGAAATCCATTTTTAACAAAGCTGTTAAAAGTGGCTGGGCACAGCGGCTCATTCCTGAAATTCTAGCACTTTGGAAGGCTGAGGCAGGAGGATCACATGAGGTCAGGAGTTCAAGACCAGCCTAGCCAACATGGTAAAATCCCATCTCTACTAAAAATACAAAAATGAGCCAAGTATGGTGGTGTACTCCTGTAGTCCCAGCTAGTTGGGAGGCTGAGGCAGTGAGCTGAGATCACAGTAATTGCACTCTCTACTTTGGGAGAAGAGTGAGACTCTGCAAAAAAAAAAAAAAAAAAAAAAAAAAAAAAAAAAAAAAAAAAAATCCCGTTAGCAGTACCTACCATATTGAAACAAGCCTGTGCTTTCAAATCCAAAATATTCCTTCCTCCCATTCCCCCTCCCTAGGTTTCACAGGTTTAAGCACATTCTGAAAAGGGTTGTGTGGCCCAAAGTGTTATGTGCCACTGATTTATAGCTACACCCTCTGATGATAATGGTGGGGGACCCATTGCTTCTTAGACTTGACTCCTGGTGACTGCAGTCTTTAGAAATCAAGTTTGCCTTAAAAGAACATGATTTTTGTTACCACCAAGAATACTCCAAGAATGCATTAATACTTGGAAGTTAATTTCAAATGTAGACCTCCCGTAAGACAATAGTGGAATAAACAGTCTCTTTAGATGACTGTTTCCAAGGGAACTTCACTCTGTTAGCTATATAAATCCTGGTATATACTGTTAAATTGGCTCAGAATTTATGGCTTACTTAGTAAATTTTGTGAATTCAAATGTATTTTGAAGTGCATTTAATTTTGATAATCTGATATTTAGTCAATATATTAAATATTCCAGTCATCACCAGAGGCCATGATTCTCCCCAGGTAAGTCAGCTTCCTTTCTTGTTTTCAAACAGCCTTTTGGATAACTTTCAGGTCATCTGGCTTAGAGGTGAAGAGGTTGGACTTTGTTGTTTGACAGACATGCATTTAGATCTTGTCTGTCGACTTTAGGAAAATTTCTGTGCCCTCCTCTGTGAAATGGAGATAATATTTACCTCTGAGAATAGTTGAAAGGATAAAGAGAAGCTGTGTGTAAGTTTTTCTGTACAGTACAGGGCACAGAATGAACAGTGCATTAATAGCAGCTACTATTATGATTAACGGAATTTTCCTTTGACTGCATGGGCGTTTTCTTTGCCCATCAGGGATCTTCACTATGTTCATCATTCTGTGTATCAGAAGGAGGAAGCCCATTTCCTGTGCCTGAAGGTCAGAACTATAAACTCCAATCTCAGGGACCCACCTACAAATAAGGTTGAAGTCGGAACACTCTCCTGAAGGTCAGGGTCAGATTTCTGTATCTCATTTGGTTGCTTTTTAAGTTCTTTTAAGTTTCTCATTCACCAGAGTATTAAAAACTGGGCTCTCCATATGGGTGGAGAGTGTGAGTAGCCAATTCTAACGGTCTATACTTTGTACCTAATGGTCCTATTCCCCGAGAGTTCTTATTACTCTAAATGGTATTCACTCCCTGTTACCCACAAGGTCATCTCCATTCTAGCCCTGGTTGCTCAATTTCTGTCACTTTGATTTCTCTCTGCCTACCAATACCACAGGATCTAATACAAATTCCCTTTGTGTGTGTATAATGAGCTTGGCTTTTCTTTTGAAAGGAGCCATTTGCCTGTATTTGTGCTGCTCAGTTGTTTTCCGCTTTAAGAAGTGAACAGAGTTAGATAATATTTGACCGTTCCTACAGACATGGCCAGGACACTTCAAAAACACTTCATCAAGGGATTTCACATTTTTGTTGCTTTTTAAAATACTTTGACTCACTCCAAAAGGAGGCAAGTGGAGCTTGAAGTTCCCTTTCTCAAGG